AAGAATAAAGGGAAAGGCTTTAGTGTGGTGGCCGACACACCTGAACTACAGCGAATCAAAAAAACTCAAGATCAAATCAGCAATGTAAGCTGCCCAGCACATTTCATCTTCTGTCTTTGCGTTTCAGATATTTATTTTCCTTTGTCAGCTTCATTTGTTCTTTTCTTAAAACATCTTGATTGCAGATACTTGAATTTTGTCATTAAGGCAGTACTGTGGATACTTATTTATAAAGTCCAAATAGTGCAAATACATTCCTGTTCATCTAACATTTTTCCAAGCCTCTGGGCTAAACTGGATTGAACTGTTATCATCAAACTAGAACATGTCTTCATACATTCCATTGCAACCCTGGGGGTTCTGTAGCATAGACAATTGGAGTGAAGAGGGAACTAAAGAAAGAAAAATCAAAACAAAAAAGCAATTACCTAATTTCAAATTTGCAAGTGGAATAGAGGGCATGGGAATGGAATCCCCAAGGGATTCAGTTTATTCTGCATGACATCCCCAAATCTTGAGATTGGGGAATGACAGAATTCCTCATTCACAAGAATGACTTCATGAATTGAAATCAAAGGCATCAAGTTCCTCTTGTAAAAATAAGTAATGGCTAACTAATATTTATCTGATATCCTCAGAAAAATAACGAGGGAGGGAGGATGGATAGAAAGTCAGTCAGTCAGCTAGTCAATCAATCAGTCTGGCTAGGAAAGGCAGCTTAATGGGTGAAAGAAAGGGGGAGTTAATTACACTCCACAATATTGTATAGGAATGAACCAGTTCTCAGTTTCCATCTTCTGGTTCATAACCTCTATTACAATAATTCATCAAGTGCAGAGATAGGTTAAAGATAATTATTTTAAGGAGGAAACCAGTGTTTATGGAAAATGAGTTGACTATTTATATATCATGATTCTGGGGTTTATGTTCTGGAATTGCCCAAGACTATCTGTTGGAATTTGATAAGCAATTGCTAAACATTATAATATATTTTCTGATGAATATTGAGTAGAGAATAACATAAATAACACAAATAACTTGGTGTGTTAAACTTTTGATAAACAAATATAGAATTAGTAAAAAAGGAAAAATTGATTAACATTTTAGTACTATCCCTACTCAGCAGAAACCCAATTCCTGAGACTCAGTCCGTCAACTATTTGTATATTCATCTGCGACTTTCAGTGGAAGTTCACAAACCAATTGCAATTACTGAATTTTCATTAAGATAGTGAAAACAAAAGTGCATGACATAATAAAGGTCAGCAAGGAGTCAGGAAAATTTCTACTAATGATGTGGCAAATACATTATAAGCTTTCTCATTTGTCTTTGTGCTCTTGCTGATAGTATCTTTTCCTTCTTTTGTAGATCAAATACCATGAGGAATTTGAGAAGAGCAAGATGGGTTCTCCTGCAGGGGAGGGAGGTGAGCTGGAACGCCGTAATTCCCAAGAAGGTGCCAATTACAGGAGACCAGTTGAACAGCCGCCTCCATCACATCAACAACCTCATCATGCCCAGCCAAGTAACCCTGGTAATGAGCAGGAGGAAATAGAGATTGCTGGCAATCC